GGGCTGGCTGGTCGGCACGGTTGGCGGCGGTCACCCCGCTTTTTAAAAGAAAAATTACCCCCCCACCCATTTTTAACGTGTTTTAGTCCAAAAATCGTCAGAAAATTGATATTTTATGTTTTAAAACAGCGCGTAATAAGCGCATAAAACAGGTTTTTAGGCGCATAATAAGCTCATAATCGGGTGCTATTTTTGGGCATAATTTTGAGTTTTAAAACGCTTAAAGTTGCTATCTCTAGTGACCACTTTGCACCACATAAAGACGTACAAGGAGGCGTCCAATCGTAAAATGTCAAAGGAAGTACCCCCCACAACAACACACTCTGAATCAGGAACTACCCTCGGATTTGCCGTATCTTCCACTGTTTCGGCCCTAGAGGTGGATATATTGAATACAATGGAAAAAGGTCAAGTTTAAAGACTGTTTGACAAACAATACAATTTAAAAACTGCGCTGGTTCGTAATTTTTTTGTATTTTTTTAAAGCGAAGGAGATGGGTGGTGTGTAGTCATGGTGTAGCCCCGTTACAGTCTTTTGTCATGTGAAAGGTGCAAATCTCAAAGGTCGCAGGCCCCCCGCCGGAAGTTAGTTTCCTCAAATATGCAAAGTGATTTACCGGTCATATGATTGATTTGGTTATGTTCTTCAGTAAACGAGACTGAAATGGTCGGGCCGCAGGCCCAACCATCGCCGCCGGCAGAGCCGGCAGGGCCGGCAGGGCCAGCCTAGGGTGTGTTTCCAAAAAAACAAAAAAAAATCGACGGAGAAGGCGATTTTTTGGTGCGCCTTGGCTTTTAGAGTACAGCGCAAAAAATCCGAATGAAATCAGGCCCGATTTACCCGGTGCGCACCGCGTTTAAAGTTTCGGGGCGCTCGGGACTCGCCCGTCCGCGCCGCTGCCGCATCGTCTTTAAGCGCCCGCCACGCCGCCACGGGTAACGACAACGCAATGACACTTGCTGGTATTCGTCGGCAAGTCCCCCTGAGTGTGTCGGCATCATCGTTTTGGGCGTTTTGGCCACGTAGGCAACCCTCCTCCATCACCCCCTCGAAATGTTGACATTTTCAGATTTTCAGCTCTGTGCGAGGTTGGGCGTAACCGACGACGGCCGGGATGGTACCGATGTACTTGCCGGACTTGCCGAAGTATCCCAGCAATTGTCGTTGCGCTGTCGCTACCCGTGGCGGCGTGGCGGCGTGGCGGGCGCTCAAAGACGATGTGGCAGCGGACGGGCGAGTCCGGCGCGACGGCGTGCGCCCCGAAATTTGAACGCAGAGCGCACGGGGTAAATCAGGTCCAATTTCATTCGGATTTTTTTGCACTGTACTCTAACAAGCTAGGCCCACTCTTCCGCCAAACCAAGTTGCCAGCTCCGCTTCGCTCCACCGGCAACTCGGTTCGGCAGGGAGTTGGACTTGCTTGGCCTGCCGGCCTGCCGGCGGAGTTTGGGACGGGCCGAAGGCCGAAGGCCCGTCCCTTCTGATTTTTCATGGTGTAATGTAGCTTCTATCGGAAAACAGGCCTTCGGCCCGTTTGAGTAATGGCTTGCTTTGAACCATGTTTTTGCCAGGTACCTTTGCTGTGTGCGCCGCAGTTTGTAGAATACATGCAAGTTATGCCAAATCCCTTCTAAGTTATTGATGTTAGCTTATGGATCCAATAACACACCTATGAAAAGATGTATAAGAATAGACCCAGAAGAAGTTAAATATAGGTCCAGGCATACTCTGAAATGACTCCGAACGTGTCCGAACAACGAAATAATTGTTTGTTTTTCTTTATTTTTGCATGGGAGTGTACATATTTTATTAATGATGTGCCACCATAAAATATGCCCACTCTTCTGCTTAGAAGAAAATTTTGAACCGACGGCATACTTCTCAGACAAAAGTGTACTCCTAAAGAAAGAACATTTTTGTAAGAAAAGCTCCATTTCGTAAATATATAGTGAAAGCCAGACGGACGACATTTTAGAATAGAGGGTTCTTCTTTTCCGATTCACCCCTTTGGAGACCATCAATTATTTTCTAAAATTAAGAAAAAAAATTTTGGGCCACTTTTGTGAGTAAAACTTCCTCCAGCGCCTAAACGGTGAGAGGTAGAGCCAAAAGGAAGAAATTTTTGTTCCACTTCTTGGACCAACCCTTATTTCTTTGATACCCTCTCATACCCACTCAGGGGTGGTTGCCAGGATTTGCACCAACCGTTTCGTTGTCCAGAAGTGACAACAATAATACCCTGAAAATTTCAGACCTCTAACTCTCGTCCTTCTTGGGAAAGGGACAGGCGGACAGACGGACGGACGGACAGACACAGGGGCGACGGCATAAGCCCGCTTATATAGCTTTTAAGCAAAGGAGTGGGCTGAAAACCAAGGCGCACCGAAAAATCGACTTCTCCGCCGAATCAATTTTTTTGAAACACCCTAGACTGGCCCCTGCCAAACGGAGTTGCCGGCGCACCGAAGTGGAGCTGGCAACTGCGTTTAGCGGAAGGGCGGGCCTGCTTGTTAAATATCCTATGCGCCCTAAGAACAAGAGTCGAACTGCGCGGTGAAAAGTTGCTTCATATTATTACAATGAAAACGGGCGCATTGTGAAGCATGCTTTCTTTCTATTTACAAAGCATTCCTTTGAATGCTACTGTTTTATTTATAGGTTACGTACTAATGTAATTTTAGAATAGCAGTATGCGGACGGCCGGATAGACAAAACCCGTATCCACAGTGCAGTGATCGCAAAGCCTATCTCGAAAACTCGGTGGCAAACCGAGCCCGAGTGCCTCACCGGTACGTCCTCGCAAGTTCGTGCGACTGCCGCAGCGCTGAGCGGCACTGTGCGTCAGGCGCGTCTCCCTCATAAGAACCACGGCAAGCAGAAGGCATTTTGAAAAAAGTGTGAAAACTGTGATCTAAGCGACGTTAGAGGAGGAAAGGCTGCTGTTTCGATTCGGTCGTAGTCTATGAAGGGGTAATGTTAAAAAACGAAAACAAAAAAACAGCCGTATCGATCAATGTCAGGACTAGCCGTAAACGTAAGTTATTCTGTCGTCTTCAAAGTACATCTGAAGGTTAGCGGCGACGCATATTTATTTAATTTTGAGGAAAACCAGACTCGAGCGCCAATGTATAATAAGTGTTCCTGATTTTACTTAAAAATCCCTTTCCAATGGTATACTTGAGTCAAGGGGAAATAGGCTTGAACTTCGGTCTACGTTTTCTTGAACTTCAGCGAACTTCGGCGAATTTCAGTGAAGTCTAGTGAACTACGAGATCTTCGCGGAACTTCGACCGAAGTTTTCGAACTCCGACCTGATCCAGAGATATGAAAGCAAAATTTTCCGTCCGTCATTCGGCCCCTAGATATCTGCTTTCAGTAAGCTGGGGACTCGCTTAAAGTAACCACTGAAAATCGCTAAGTTCAGCCTTTAATATGCACTAATTTATTTTCAACTTCGGTGAACTTCTATGATTTCATTTGAACTTCGGGGAACTTCGACATTTCTTTTGAACTTTGGATAACTTCGACATTAAATTTTGAACTTTGAGGAACTTCAACTTCTGATTTTGAACTTCGGTGGATTTCGGTGAACTTCGGTGAATTTCAATGAACTTTGATCAAATTTTACATAGCGAACGGTATTTGGCGTGCCGAAATTAGCTCTTGATAGCAAAATGAACTAAAATACCCGAAATGAGCAAATTTGTGGCTCAGCAGTAGTGCCATTAAAGGCACTACTTTACTTACGCCTCTTAAAAGATATTTTGACACCTTGGAAAAAAATGTACGCAGTTCTGCTGCTAGATCCGAACTCCACGCAGGCCTCTGTCAACTCAAATGTGTACATAGTACACATTAAAGAAAGTGTACATGGCATGTATGCTTTAATTAATGTGTACATGCTCATGTACACATCTTTTAAAGTGTACATGCCCATGTACACATCTTTTAAAGTGTACATGCTTATGTCCACATCTTATATTGTGTACATGCCTGTGTACACATTGAAAGATGTGTGCACGGCATGTATACTAACGGTTGTATGTACACTTTAAAAGATGTGTCCATGGGCATGTACACTTAAAAAGATGTGTACATGGGCCTGTACACATTTATAAATGTGTACATAGGCCTGTACACATTTATGTGTACATGGTCATGTACACATTTATAAATGTGGGCATAGCCATGTACACATTAATTAAAGCATACATGCCATGTACACTTTCTTTAATGTGTACTATGTACACATTTGAATTGACAGAGGTGCAGCCGCTAGATCCGAGATCCACGCAGTTCAGCCGTTCCATCCGAGATCCACACAGTTCTTCGCCACAGGGATAGGAACTGCGTGAGTCTTGGATCTAGCGAGTGAACTACGTGGATCTCGGACCTAGCGGCTGTACTGCGTGGAGGTAGAGTTCGGATCTAGCCTAGCGGCCGAACTGCGTGCCTTTTACTCCAAAGTGTCGATTTACTGTGGATATGTCGGTTCCATTCCTTGTAATAGTAAGTATTTCCGACTTGACATTACGTGCAGTACGATCAATTTACAATCGCTCCAAAGACGTCACAGTGCTTGGTAATTTGGCAACGTGCGCTAACCACGCTGTGTTAAATTAACCAAGTTTTGGATCCCGTTCGGAAATTCAAGAGGTCTTTAACAAATAAATTCGCAATATCTCTACTGTAGAATTCTTGTACTTTTACTAACAATAGCTCTTATTCAGCTTCCCGTAGCCTTATTTGTTGGCCGCCATTGTGGTTACCGAAGTTCTACAGGCTCTTATGGAAGAAATTGTTTTTGACAGATGGTGAAAGCAGCCACAAGCTTTGTTTGGGTTACCTCTATCATTTTTCAAATATCGAAAACCAATTTCTCTTAAATGAGGCTGTAGAACTTGGGTAAACTACAATGGCTGCCAACAAGTGAGGTCTACAGGCTGGTGAATAAGACCTTATGCTCCTGCGAACTAATACTTTGGCGTTCACAGGAAAACGTTACACATCACGTCTTTGTCCAGGCTTCTCAAGTGCTTGTCGGCACCGTCGTGGTCCTTTCGTTTCTTGCTGCAATACACGCCCAGAACCTGATAGCCGCTTCCAATTCTGCCAACGTTTGCTGCGGCTTCTATTCCTGCTTAGGAGCTGATGTTACATTCTTCTGGAGGCAGCGCAGGGCGTACAGCATTGTCGAGCGTCTGGAACGTTTGTTTTACGATGTCGAGAGGTTGGCCGATAGCAGTGATGCGGTGCGTAATACACAAACGAACACCGCTCTAAGATGACATAATGACATAACTCGACATGCAAATTGTCAACGAATATGACTTGTCCCTATTGTAAAGCACGCACGCCGCTGCGGCGTTCACGTTTTAGAGGGTGATTTTTGACACCTTCGAGACTACATAGGTATCACTGATTTTTTTTTAAAAAAAGAAAGACTGTCTTGGGGACTAAAACATCGATACGTGGTCCCGCCAGGCCATAAGAACTATGCGTGATTTTGCCAGCGCCGGAACGTTGTGAGTGCTTTAACAGAGGCCCCGTGGAGTTGCCTGGTTTCGCCAGCGCCGAAGAGCCGTGCGCGACTTGCAAATAGCGAGGCAAATAGGGACAAGCGATATGTAAGAGTATGTTGAGTAAGGTAACCATGGACAGATATAGGCTATGAGAGCTGTTCTCTGGTCCTCTGGAGGTCACTTTTGACATCTGTTTGGTTTCATCGAGTATTTTATGGTACATTGTTTTCTACCCTCCCTCGATAGAAACAATCGAACATCCGACTCATAAGTTAGAAAATTACCTTGTAGGCCCCATAAGGGTAGAGTTTGCAATCGGCCAGTTGAACGTGTTTTCGCTTACCCGATGCTCGCCGGCGTCTGTACCCGACCCGACCCGGCCCGACGGAGACTCTGTCGGGCAAGTCGGGTGAGCCGGGCGGCCTCCGAATCACCGACCCTTAGCCGAGCTTCCGCACGCTCTTCTCTATGTGAGCTCTGATTTTGGTTTGCCATGTAGAAGTGATCCAATATTTATTAGACTGAAAGTTATCAGTCATGGCTTTCGAAACACATTTGTTGACGAGTAATTAACATGATTTGGGACATCGTATTGTCAAATCCTGACAACATAAACATAAATACCGAGGGGTCTACAACTCGCCTCAGCCGTGTACTTTTGAGTATAGATTATAAGGATTATAGCGTGATTTTAAGATTATAGAATGATCATAAGATTATAGGAATGATTGTAAGA